AGCGATGTACATACGATTCGAACATCAGGTTTGGAAAGTTTTTATTATATGAATATATAGTGCCGGACAACTACAATATTCAAAATATATATATTATATATACACAGGATTTTCCAAAATGCACGTAGATAGCTGGTGGGATTCTTACTTAGAACATGGAGGAACCCCCAAAACCTCTGTGTATATATATATAGCGATGTACATACGATTCGAACATCAGGTTTGGAAAGTTTTTATTATATGAATATATAGTGCCGGACAACTACAATATTCAAAATATATTATATATACACAGGATTTTCCAAAATGCACGTAGATAGCTGGGGGGATTCTTACTTAGAACACGGGGGAACCCCCAAAACCTCTACTTAGAACATATATGAACATATATGTTCTAAGTAGTGGTCCAGGATCTCTACTTAGAACACGTTTTGGAATTCCAAAACCAATGTTCTAAGTAGTTGTCCGGCGCTATATATATATATGGGTATATACAGAGATAATACTGATATTACTGTGTTACCGGAGGGTCATATGATATAAGGTTATATAGATAGGGTAATATTATATCAGAGTGTAATTTGAACATGGCCATGTTCAATAGTTGATTTACTCAGCGATGAAAATGGTGATTTTCCATAGTTTTTTTGTATTACCCTCTGGTAATTTAACGTTGCTATTGAAAATGGCCCATAGAGAATTGAACGGTTGGGAGAAGAAACGTATGCCGATGGGCAATATACCCTCTGGTAATGTAACATACCTATTGAAAATGATACATTTATAGTTGATTTACCCAGCTAGAAAATTGTGATTTTCCATAGCTACAGTATGTTAGTTTACAAGAGGGTATTCCATCAATAGTCCATGAAAATATACCAGGAAAATCCATGATATATCCCATACATTCCCATACAAATATTGATATATGATGAGATATCTCATCAAATTGCATGAATCTCTCATTTTGATTCACTATATATTTATGTATATGTGTATATATACATATTTACATAACATTGTTGATATCCCATGATATCAGCGAACACTAATGTTCCAAACCAGATTTGGGATTGGCTTGGCCATCTGGGAATGACTTCCCCGTCATACTGGAGATAGAATACAGAACTGTCAAGAGAAAACATGGGAGTATCTACCATACATATATATATATGTTACATTATATATATAAAATTATATATATATATTATTATATTATATGTATTATACATATTATACATACATATATATTATATTATATGTATAGTAAATATAAATATATTATTATATTATATATATATATATATTATATTATATGTCTAGTATATATATATAAATATTATATTGTATATAGTATATATAGCCTCGTGCAGGCTTCTGGAACTACCTAAACCTGAATTAGGTTGGTAAAACTTGTCCATTCCGTGACGAAATTTCGTCGCGGAATTAACAAGTTTCATTAGGGTCATTATCATCATCATCATCATTATCATCATCACATCATCATCAACTGCTGCCGCAAGTTCACATGAATGTTAACATCGAGCCGCAAGTTCACATGAACGTTAACATCCCACCCCACCCCCCCCACCCCGCGTGTGCGTAGCATCAACTGCTGCCGCAAGTTCACATGAACGTTAACATCCTGCCGCAAGTTCACATGAACGTTAACATCCCCACCCCACCCCCCCCCACCCCGCTGTGCGTAGCATCAACTGCTGCCGCAAGTTCACATGAATGTTAACATCGAGCCGCAAGTTCACATGAACGTTAACATCCCACCCCACCCCCCCCACCCCGCGTGTGCGTAGCATCAACTGCTGCCGCAAGTTCACATGAACGTTAACATCCTGCCGCAAGTTCACATGAACGTTAACATCCCACCCCACCCCTTTACCCCAAGGTTGAGGTAGTTCCAGAAGCCTGGACGAGCCTATATATACTATATTATATATATATATATTATATTATATATATATATTATATATTATATATATCTTATATACTATATATATATATTATATATTATACACATTATATATATTATATATACTATATAAATTATATATAATATACATTATATATATTGTATATATAATATATATTATATAAATTATATATGTATTATATTATATTATATATATATATATATTTATATTATATTCTATATGTGATATATAGTATTTGATACTATTATATTATATCATACTTATATTATATTTATTATACTATTATACTATACTATATCCTATTAATTTATATTAAAATATTACAAAAATAACTATATCACACTTATTATATTAAATCATATTATATTACTAAATTTAATTATATTATATTATATTATATTATAATTATATTACGTTATAATTTTTAAAATATATAAATATATGTCAAATGATATTAGTTACATATGAAAAATAGAAAATGATATATATATATACATTGTACTACATTATATTATATATTCTTACTGTGTGTTATATTATTTCATATTTAACATTGTTATAGTATATGATATATTGTATTAAATCAAATATTGTATATATTAAACAAATATATATATATATATACATTATATTATATACATTTAAATATTGTTATATACTTGAAATTATATACTATTTTTATTATGATAATAATATTATATATTATATATTACATAGTATATATTATATGTTAGATATATTGTGTATATATGATATACATATTATATATTATATATATATATAATATAAAGTATATTAAATAGTCTATATATTATACTATATCTAAAATATATCTTACTATATTGTATTATATTGAATTATATCATAGTTAAAAAATATTAAATCAATTAAAAACATATCATATCATATTGTTTCTTAAGATATGATATGAAATTAATTGATATTCAATATTATATATAATATTTATATTATATATTTATATCATATTATATTATACATACCGTTATATTGTATTAAAATATATTATATATATCAAATTATGTTAATACATATATTATATTATATTATATTATATTACATTATATTATATGATATTATATATATATATTTAAAAAACAATTTGTATATGATATTATATGTTATATTGTATATTATGTTATACATTGAATTATATGTTATATTACATATTAGATTGTATATTAAATAACATATAATATTTATCATATTATATCTTTTGTAATATAATATATTATACTATATTATATATTATCATATATTATGTATTATATATTCTATATTATATTATATTAAATCATATTTTATATTATATTATGTTTGATTATATTATATTATATTACGTCTGATTATATTATATTATATTACGTTTGATTATATCATATTATATTATGTTTTCTTATAATATATTATATTTTAATATAATATATATATATATTATAATATATTATATTATACTACATTATATTATATTATATTATACTACATTATATTGTATTATATTGTATTATATTATATTATATTGTATTATATTATATTATATATTATATATTATATATTATATATATATTGTCAATATATATATACGTATTATCTGTACATTTCAGTATGATTACATATAGTATCTACACATTTCAGTATGACTATATATGTATGTATATTTATATCTATAGACAAGCTGGATGCAGACGGGATAAGATATTGTATATATGGGACAACGGTCCACCCTATTTGTTGATTCATCTACGAAATTCCAATTTTGGATGACCTTCAGTTTCTGCCCAACAAACATAGCTAGATTCACCAGCAAGAAACTGGACGAGCCATAAATCGGGATCGCCGATCGCCAAAAACCCAGGCAGCGTCATGGAAGATTTGTGGTCAGTCATAATCTATAATTACCATGGTTACCACTATCAGCAAATCCTATATAAGTACCCTAGGCCATAACATACAAAAAGATGTGGAAAACCCATGGGAACCCCAGGAAAATAGTATAAAATAGTCTAAAATGGTTGATTTTCCACATCTATGTAGATGTTTACCCTAGGGTAAACATTGAAATAATGATCTGCCAATCATGGTCCATGCAGTCAATAAAGGTAAATAACACTGTGATGACATGATGACCACCATGCAAGTGGCAAAGATATGTAAAGATGGGGGCAAATGTGACACTGAAGTCATTTCATCTACTGCTTGGTGAGGTAGGCTATAGGTACTGTATATATAGGTATAGTGTGTCAGGGTCGCGAGGATCAGAAGAAGGATGTTGTTTCGTGTTTGTTCATAATGTATAGGTATGTATAGGTTATATACAAATCCGATGTTCGATGTTCCTTCTGTAAAATCGGTAGGATTCTGAGGCTGCGGTAGCTTCCAACTTCCTATGTCTATCAAGGGCAGGGATCACTTTACACAAATATCTTTGGGCCAAGTCGGAATAGTTCAAAACCAATGATACCCCATGCCATATTGTATATGACTGCGCCTGGGATATATGATACGGAAATTCATGATTGACGAGTGGATTTGGGGGTCCCCCATTTCAGGCGAACCTAAATTTTTGTGGGGAGACGTATTAAATTGCAGTATCAGCTACTTTGATGTCCACATTTTGGCACCGTCGCAAGATTCATCGCCAGGTGTCATCCTCGAATGAATCTCAAAGACGTCCAGGTCGGAAGATTGTCTGAAGACTTCAGCATAGTAGGCTGCAATGCGTCCAGTGATGAATATGACCTTACCTGTGACATGCCCATGCCATGTCACGACTTGAGTTGTGATTTCAACCCATCTCAAAAGCACCAATCATGGGCACCTAAACGGAACCTGAAACTGTGCCAACCAGAGACACTGAAATCAGCCTGAAACTGAATATTAGACTATCATGGAGGGTCATAATCACTGGGTATTGGATTATTGGAAGAATACTTGTGCCCTCCGGGATGCAGGCTCCGGGTCGTACAATGTTTTGAAACAGAAACAGATTTTATCATTCTATGACTGCTCCAGCGTTCAATGCCTCCCAGCGACCACAATCTTTGGTGGCGACAAATAGTCACGGGCAACACGGACCTTGGATCCGCGAGGAAAATCATCTCACCTTGCAGAACCCATTGTAACGATTCAAGGATGTATTCCCAGTAGATGTCTACCGATTTCGGACCCTTTCAAGGGGTTTTCCAAAATGACTCCAAGTTAAATACTATCCAAGTTCTTTGTAATTTTCAATGAGGAAACCAATGGTGAAAAGGGGTACCCCAATTTTGACACCCAAACAAGTCCGTTTGTCTAAAAATAGACCCAAGAATGTGATGAGTAATCACAAATCCCCCCAATCATTTGCTGCCATTTGGTGGTTAAAAAAAACATCGAAACACCCTTCCATGAGCAGTCAAAAAATGATGTCATTATAAAGGATTAATTACATTATCTGGTTCAATGGGGACAATGAACTAACCCATATGAGAAAAAAAGATCAACCAACATCAACCAAGTAGTATTTCATGAAAAAACCGGGTGGTATAGCTGCATAGCTTTCAGAAGGCCTTTTGGTGGGTGCAACATGGTGCAACATGGTGCAACATTGTGGGTAGACGGGGGGGGTTGCCCAAACTTCATTTGTTATCGTGGGGTGGGGTGGGTGGGTGGGGTGGGGTGGGGTGGGCTGGGGTGGGGGGGTGGGGTGTATATAATAACGTTCTAACGACTCTTATCTTCTAGCATGCTACGCTGACGAGCCTTGTCCACTGGCATGCTACGTTACCGACTCCTGTCTTATACTACTTGCTCAGATGCTTCTACGTCAGGGTGGGGTGGGGTGGGGGGTGGGGTGTAATAACGTTCTAACGACTCTTATCTTCTAGCATGCTACGCTGACGACCCTTGTCCACTAGCATGCTACGTTACCGACTCCTGTCTTATACCTGCTTGTCTGAGATGCTTCTACGTCAGGGTGGCGTGGGGTGGGGGGTTGGGGTGGTGGATTGTCAGCCTTGTTTATTCACGAAAATTTGGGACTTGAAAGCGTGATGTCCTGCTTTGCCAAGATACATAGCCTCTGTCAAAGACAGCATGAATCCATGCAAGGCCTATCTGGATACCACTTGGATCACTCCAAACGAGGGAAATTGACAACGAAAAAGAAGCGCGAAGTCCTGTAAAGGTTGTTTTCAACATCAATTTTGAAAAAAATGGAAGTTCAGTAAATGATGACCGTGATGATGATCAGACATGAACGTAACATGTTGTGATCAGATCAGAACGATTTCAAGTCTTCAAAATGTGCTTGCCACCACACCGAAACGCGCATTTTTTTTCCTTAAAGTGACATTTAAAGATCAGAAGACCCTGATGATGAACATTGTCGAGCTCATCAGAAGGTTGCTCAGCTTCGGGCACCCCCCCCCGTCTACCCAACCAACATGGTGCAACGTCAAGAACGGATTCCCAAGTGCTCCATTCATCTCATCCGTTGAAACCACTTTGTAGGTCTGAACCTGGGTCGCTGTGAACTGAATATATATACACATTATTATACATAAATTATACATACATATATATATATATATTAGAACATCATGTTCTATCCATTTAAGGATATCTCCATGGGGGGTTCCTTCATGAGGCTATGGGGGTACCCCGAAATCGCAAGACTCTCCGAAGGATCACTGGGATCACGACGGAGGATGACCAAGGCCCCGGATTTTGTGGAGTCTGTTTGGGAAACCCGAGAAACCCCTATGAATCGCTACACTATATATATATAATTATAATTATATGTATATCATATATGTGTATATATATATATGTATATCATATATGTGATGTATGTGATATATGTGATATACATCATTTTAATTCACAATTCTTCAAGAGCATGGTGTTCCAGTCAATGTTCCATTCCTCACCGTGAAACATGACCGACTAAAAGCACCTCAAAAACTCCCCCGAGTCGTCCATTTTTGTTTTGGCCATCCGTGGCCACCAGGGCTCATTTTTGACATACAGGAGATACATAAAATTATATTTATACATAATAATGTATACATTTGGATTAAATATATCTGAATGGAACTTTCTGATATTTAAACTTTCTGATCACATTTGGATTCTGATAAAGATTATACATAAGGTCTGAATGATGTATGAGTACTCTGAGTAACTGATGAAACAAATTAGTTGGAAAATATGAGTTGAATGATGGTTTATGTTTATGATAAACCAAGGGGGATCGTATTGATCAAATGACAATTACCCCGAGGGCTGGTCATGACCTTGAGATCCAAGCGGCGATTGCCTTAGGAACTGTTGATTCCTCACCTTCCACATCGACCAAGTCGTGACTTTTTGACACCTGAAAACGGGTGAAGCGGGAATGCCAAGTGGTTTTTGTGATGTTTTTGGGTATGAAATAATAGCCTAGGGAACACTGCAGGTTAACTGTATATATTATAATATTATATACATATATAAATATATGTATTTCTTATTTGTACTTATATTTATATCATATGTTTAACTATCTGTATAGTATAGATTTACATCTTCTAACATATAATCACATACATCTCAGCACACCAACTGGACGCCACCGCCTGGTCAATGAGTTGGGTGACTTCCTTGGTCAAAGTAGCTGAGTAGAACAAGAATTGCGACGCACTCGGCACGGCATCCAGGATGCAGGCTGTTGCCTGGCCAAAACACAACCTGGGGATTGGGAGTACCCTCTGGTTATTCAACATAGCTATGGAAAGTCACCATTTCCAATAGGTAAAGCAAATATAGGCAAACAATCTATACATACATGGACCATTTTCCACATCTATCTGAATTTGCAGGAGAGTAAGCATGCTACAACAAAGAAATGAGATATGTCATGGGAAAGTACTGGGAAAATGGTCATGTGATGGGGAGATTTCTACTCCGAATATACATTTGGTGAAGGGTAAACATAGGGATTTAGGTGTCAGTTCATCCAATACAAGGAAATATAATCGGATAATCATTGAACAAATAATATGGAACAGTAGCACAATAGGGTATATACTGGCATATATATATATACACATAACCAACACTATGATAATTGGGTCGTGAAGGTCTAAAGCGTAGTGAAAATGGAGAAGTTTTCACCATGTTCAACCATTTCATGGAGATTTCATGGGAAAATGTCATGTGAAATAAGAAATCGTGTAATATACCATCTGGTTATTTAACATCTGGTTATGACTAACATAGCCATGGAAAGATCCACCCATGCTATTAAGTTCGGTAAACCATCTATTTCTATGGGCCATCTATACCATGGCTATGTTAGTCATAACCAGAGGTGCGTCTGAGCATGGGACAGGGTCCTCCATATCATAGTGCAATCATATCAAGATCAAGATCACTGTTACTCATCATACTATATCAAATACATTCATATATATATATTGTATATATACACAATATATATATGTTGGAAATAACATATTTTATATACATAAAATATGTAAGCATAAAATCGTTTGCATCCAGGGTTACCAACCTTCTTGCACCTGGGCAGCCAAAAAAAACTGATGTCCTGGATGCGTCATGTCACAGGTGTTAGATTCCATAGCAATGAATGTCCATCCCTAATTTACGGGGTCAATAATCTTGGTAATGATCATGAATCTCGTCATTTTCTTGTATTCCATTTACTTTTCAAAGATCTTTTTTTTGAGTTCTCACTTGCATCGCGTGATTCTTCCCACTTTTTTTCCGGATCTTCTTGACTTGCGTTTGCGACAGAACATTCTTCCCATTGAGCATTATACTTACCCTTTTAGCATCCCATATCATAGATGAGTCAGGGAATCCAAGAAATCAGCAACAAATCCATTGGACCCCACCGAGTTACTCCACCGAAAGGGCTGGGCCGCTGGGCTGGATCCCATCAAAACCATGCCACGACAGTAGTCCCCCGATTTCTTCTGATTTGTCATGATTAAAACAGGATGAAGTTGTAAGTTTCTGCATTGCCCCATTTTCAGACACAACAACATATTGAAATATATATATAATATAATATAATATAATACAATATAATATTATATATATATCACTATATCAGTTATATCCGTATTAAATCCCCACAATAGACTTGGTACAACTGGTGAAATACCAAACTTACACCCCCCACGATGTTCCCATAATATCGCCAGTGGTATTCCCCCTAAAAGTCAAATCATTCTACCCAAAAGTTTGTAGTGAACATCCACCATTAACCGAGGGGTTAAATGAGGCATTTAGATTTCGGAGATACGCATCGCACTATTACCAAAATTGGCGAGTGAAATCCCACATTCAAAAAACCAGAGTTAAATCATATCTAACCCATCATAAACCACTATAACCAAGTCATTAAAAAATCCATCAAATAAGAGTTAAACCATAGTAAAACCATAGTAAAACCATAGAAAAATCCACAGTTAAACCATAGTGAAGCATAGTTCAACCCCACATGACCTCGGCAAAGAGTTCGCCACAGAGCTGATCGACCTCGTCGAGGATCAGCGTCTGCCTGAACGATGCCCAAAATCTTTATGTAGATATTTTATATCATATATATAGGATTATATAGGATATTATATTATACAATATTAGATTATGTCAAATTTTATTACACACTTATACAGATTATATCATATTATACATATGATATTGTATCATATTATTATACATAGTAAATTGTTATACATATTATGTGATATTATTATACATGTGTTATTATATTGTATTGTATTATAGTTGATTAAACCATATTATATGATGTCATTTTATGTTATCTTATTTTATTCTAGTTTATTATATTAATTATTACATTATATTAAATTATATTTGACTATGTTATATTATTTTATATTATACTGTAATTATATTGTAATTAAAATTATGATATGATATGATGTTATTGTTTCAAAATAGTATTATATTATTACAAATAATAAAATGTAATATAATAAACCAAAAATGACATATCATATTATATTATATTAAACTAAAACGTTTTTATATAATATTAAATATATTGATTATATTATACGAGTATTATTTTATTATCTTATATATTATAGTATCATACATATGTGTACATACTGTATTATATATATGTTATGTTTAGATGTATTATATATATATATGTGTGTGTATCATATATGTAAGTATAGTAAGTATGTATATAATCATATAATATTTTATCTATATGATCTATATGATATATAATGCACATCCCATATATACTTTGATAGGAAACATCCTGCTGAAGTGTATTGGATCCATGCATGAATTGGGGTCCGCGGTTGGGGGTATGTTATATTTGTTGGAGAAATTATACATGCGTGTATGCATGTATAGATATACAGCATACATGATACACACATGAATATGCATCTATACAGCATATATGTAGAATTACAATCGAATATATACATGTAATTATATGATTATATATATATAATATGAATATTATATATATATACTATATAATATGTACAGTATATGGTACTCCAAAGACATAGCACTCAAAAACCAAGGGTTGGTTATCTTCCCAGAAATAGATTGCAAGTATACCCCCATTTCCGGGGCCAAGATGCACTTCAGCCAAGCGATTCGCAAAGGCTGGAGTTTTGGCCAAATGCGTTTGCAGGCGACCTGGAGCCATTTGCAGAACTGGCTGACGGAAAACTCTGGTGGCAAACAACCAAGCAACTGGCTGACTGAGTTCTACAACCAGATCAAATGCGAATTTATAGGGGATTGAATTGAATACGAATTTCTCTAGATTGAGCTTGTGAAGATGATGGTTCAACAGATTTCGGATTCGTTTTGGTCGCCCAGTGAAATGCTCACAGGTTTGCCAGGAGCCATCACAGCCTGTTTCACAAGAAAACAATGGGAACAGGGACACAGCGGCCCAAAATTTTCGGGACGGACCCATTTGAACTCCCTGACAATGCTTCAACATGCTTCAACCATCACAATAACAAGCAGCTCGTTCTGCTTCAAGATGATCAAAATGGTTCCCACACCCTGGACCATGTCTGCATTTGGAAGAAGCCACACATTGATCAATTCCAAATATCATCCATGCTGACATGGTGAATCCATGAAGCCACAGAGTATTTTTTGGAGGTTAGTTTCTGCCCATCAACTGATATGCCATTAATCGAATTGATTCAGGGAGAGTTCTCCCAATCCCATTCCCATCATTCCCATCATTCCCATCATTCCCATCATTCCCATCATTCCCATCATTCCTCAGACTTGCTCGTTCACCAGTTACAAGGTGGGTAAAAAAGGGTCAAAATCATAGGTCACATGACCAATCTACCCCCCTGAAGTGGTTGTGATTTGCCCATGGAGCCTGCCTGGTGTGGCAATGAGGATCACACCACCATTTGCTGCGTCTAAGGTTTCCATGTCCTGAACGCTACACAGTCATGTCATAGAGATATATATATATATAAATAGATAGATAGAAAGCGCGACAATGTGTATGTTTATATATATATATACACGCATATAATATAATCATATATCTATACATGCTTTTATAATTCACACAGAGCAACTGTGCGTATCTGCTCATTTCATTACTAGCTTAGCATCCAGGATTGGCTGATGGCTTTGCCGGTAAACACCTGTCCCCTATGACTTCCCATCACATATTATCTGGGTATATAAAATAACAATTCATTGACCTGAATACAGGCCATGTGGGAGGGAGAATTCGCCGATTTATACCAATCATTCCAGGGTTCGGTCGCAGTGAGGTCGCTACAATTCACCCATATATATATAATACATATATAAAAAAAAATACATGTATATATACATATATAATATATATATATATACTCTATACATATGTATATATATATATATCCCCAAGTTCTCCCTTCCTGGAAGCTTCTCAAGTTCAGCATACTTCAGCCACTTTGGGAGCATCGAAACTCGAAACTCGTCACCCCTGCCTCCTCCCAGTTCGAACCACCTGGGGTATTCAGGATGGACACTGCGTATCAGGCATCCATGATCCATGTACCAGCTGGAAATCTGACATCACTATGGTATTGATGACCATTTTATATAGATTATAAAAATGATGACATAAAAATTGATGATAGGTAAATCATCATGTTTATCAACAGTTTTCATAGGTTCTATTCATCATTTTTATATCATCACTGTAGTCATTGATTATAATCATGGTGATTTACCTATCATCAATTTACCTATGAAACCATGAAAAATCATCACTATGCCATGATGATTATTTTCAGATTATAAAAATGATGGATTTACCTATGAAACCACGGTGATGTTCCAGCGGCTTCAACGCATCATCTCACTGTGAGATTGGGGCCACTGGGACACCACCATTTTTGGGGGCAGCACTGGACCCACAACATAAGGGTCATCTAGAACCATCCCACCATTCTTGCTGCCCATTTTGACGAATTTTGACGAATTTGGACTATCTCCATCTATTTCACCAGTGTTATGAGTAGCATTGTTGAACCATCCCACAGAACTATCCATTGTTAAAATTAAATTTAAAATGTTTGAAACCATTCATTTTTAGGGGATTCGATGAATTTGACGCACACCCAATATAAACATATATATATATCAGATATTTGAAACAACACCCAAACGTGTTCTCTGATTGTGCATGTGTACATTTTCTGTCATCGGTCTTGCCTGAGTCTTCAAAGAAGACATCTCCAGGTCTGAAGTTTAAGAGGTTTTGGATGTTTTGGGCAAGAACACGATGTCTCCTTTGCAGCATGATGTTTCATCTATTATATGATGAGTTGATGATTTGATGATGATGATGATAATGTCAGTTACCGATGTCAGTTACTGATGTCAACTACATAACTACTATTAGTCTCCAAATGATGGTTACTATGCCAGTTACGGGTTGATCTCGCCCGCCCACCAGGTCACCATCACGCCCCTGGCCCGACTGGCCTAGCATCAAGACTGGCCTTTCTTGGCGCTGCTGATCGGAGATGTTGGACCAACGGGGAACGTAAAAAGCCAATTTATGGGGCGGTATATCTATATCTATAAATATCTATAAATATCTATTTATCCATCCATCTATCTATCTATCTTTATATATATATATATATCAATATATATATATCAATATATATATATATCATGGGGATGTAAATCTCCTGTACGTTCCTTTCACATTGTTGTCACTGAGGCGAGATCTTACTTTCAGGAGCAGGTCCGAAATATTGTTGTCTTCTTCAGGAGCCATAGTCAAAAAGACTCATGCACAGTGCTGCCATATCTTCGGACATGGGATATCATGATGGGCATATCAACCAGTCGTCCACCGGAGGCTGGTGAAATCCTTGGGACAACCGGGATGTCGTCATCTTTGTCAACTGACAGATTCTTTGGCTCCAACTCAAGTCGGAAAAAATCCGCGAACATCTCTATTCTTTGGCTCCAGTTCTTACCTCCCAAAATTTCCGGCCAGTTATGGTTTACAGATGGTTAATATATGGTTAATATGTGGTTAATATAGGGTTAATATATGGTTAATATATGGTTAATATATGGTTAATATATGGTTAATATATGGTTAATATATGGTTAATATATGGTTAATATATGGTTAATATATGGTTAATATATGGTTGATATATGGTTAATATATGGTTAATATATGGTTAATATATGGTTAATATATGGTTAATATATGGTTAATATATGGTTAATATATGGTTAAATATATGGTTAATATATGGTTAATATATGGTTAAATATATGGTTAATATATGGTTAATATATGGTTAAATATATGGTTAATATATGGTTAATATATGGTTAATATATGGTTAATATATGGTTAATATATGGTTAATATATGGTTAATATATGGTTGATATATGGTTAATATATGGTTAATATATGGTTGATATATGGTTGATATATGGTTAATATATGGTTAATATATGGTTAATATATGGTTAATATATGGTTAATATATGGTTAATATATGGTTAATATATGGTTGATATATGGTTAATATATGGTTAATATATGGTTGATATATGGTTGATATATGGTTAATATATGGTTAATATATGGTTAATATATGGTTAATATATGGTTAATATATGGTTAATATATGGTTAATATATGGTTAATATATGGTTAATATATGGTTAATATATGGTTCATATATGGTTAATATATGGTTGATATATGGCTAATATATGGTTAATATATGGTTAATATGGTATAATATATGGTTAATATATGGTTAATATATGGTTAATATATGGTTAATATATGGTTAATATATGGTTAATATATGGTTAATATATGGTTCATATATGGTTAATATATGGTTGATATATGGCTAATATATGGTTAATATATGGTTAATAAATGGTTAATATACTACCAATCTATCAGTTCTTAGTCAACCCTATTGTTTCATGGGGATCATTCGGACAGCACCAGGTTCCCCGGGCTCCACCGTTGGAAAACGCTGTGCCAACTTGGAGGCCTCCCGTCTCGCCATGGCAGATTGGTTGAGGTGTCAATGTTCCCATCCAAAAAAAGTCCATGCCATTGATGGGAAAAACCTAGGTAAGTGAATCATGAAAATTTCCATTGATGGGAAAAACCATGAAAAACCTAGGTTTTTGTGAATCCATGGAAAATTTAACCATTTTGGAGGTGCAAAAAAACATGTTCACATGGAAAAAGCCTCTCAAACATTTGAGAAAAAAAACATAGGGTTTCCAGCCACTTCGATGGTTTCTGAAGTTGTTGCCCTGTGTCCGTTCATCCACTTTTGGGATGATGTCAAGGACAAATATTTGGATGTCAACACCCAGTTTTCAATAGAGTAAGTACCACTTATGATTTGTAGACTATATATTGGTACTATTTGGTAAACTATTAAACTATTTGCTGGAAATTTTCGCAATACTATTTGGTAGACCCCAGCAATGCGGTAAACCCACTTATAAACAATAACCAAACAACTCCTTCCCAATTTTAACACAATTGAAAGGTGTTAAACAGCATGATTTACCCCTCGTTTCATTGGATGGTTAAACATATCGAAATGATCGGGCTCAACCAGCCCCCGGGTCCCCTTTGGGGGCTCCACCAAAAAGGCAACTGTCATGTTTGGAACCTTAACCAGCCATTTTATACTATGTTGGGGGTTCAATAATGTTGACCCATACCCAAATTGAATATATGGAATGAAACGATAAAAAGCAAAAATGTATTTCAATGAAAAACTAAATCATAACCTTGGTCTTGGCAGCGGGTTGGCTCACACCTGGATAATGCTAAGAATACAGGAAATGACTAGTTTGGGAACATGTATAAGTAAGTGTGTATATATTTATATTATATTATATTATATTATATCATATTATATCATACTATATTATATTATATTATATTGTATATTATATACATAGAAACAAACCCTAAACAAATGGTCGGATGATAAACTTCTGGGCGGCACCCCCGGCCGCGGGCCCCGCACCTCACGGTGAATCTGCATGGAGAGCTCTCGCCTCACATCATGAAGTACCCTCTACCAACATGGTCCAACATGTGTACATGTATATGTATGCGTATACTAGTTACATATATATATATATATATGCATGCTATATATTATATATGCTATATATTATGTATGCATATATATATATGCTATAATGCTATGTATATATATATTATATATATATTATATATATGTGTGTGGACATACACAAGTAAGCTTATGGGTCATGTCACCCTGGTACTTTGGTTTTCCCAAGACAGCTCGTTGTGGATTGCTATACCTTCTTCCTCCAAGACAAGCTGAGGATGACCCAAGGGTGTCAGTCATCTGCCTGGAGCAAGATACCGAATGATACGTCGTATATATACATCTACATCTACACACATAATCTACATAATATATCAATAATATAATATATCAATAATAAAATATATCAATAATATGATATGATATGATATAATATAATATAATATAATATAATACATTATAATACATTATAATATATATATAATATGGGTAAATTACAAGAATTCACACAAAAAAAATGAAAAGTTCGGCTATATTGGTAGAATGTCCTTTTCTAACCATCATTCCAGTGATGTTTTGCCAAGGCACACAGGGCTCAGGACCAGGATTTGGATCCCGGACTTCTTGGAGTTTTGCAAACCTGGAAATCGACCATTTACTCCCATGGCTTTCCCATGGATGGATGGATTGATAGATGGATAAATAGATCGATAGATATTCCAAATTGAAAAGTGCATTTCCCGGCCTCAGCATGTTTGACTAGCGGAGGGTAACAGCAATCCCTTCCCCTTCATGATATGCAAAAAGCATGAACACCCCTCCTGGTTCACAAGTCCCCTCCTGGTATGACCCCGCAAGCACTAGCCGGTTCTGGGTGTCGGATCCGTTCCGGAGGTCCCATATCCTTCCGGTCCCTAATCTCCAGTTCTAGCTCGTTCGGTTGTCAAAAAATCCAAACAAATCCATCAAGTCATCAAGCTCCGTGACCTTTTTAGGCCATGTTTTTGCCATGTCTTGCGAGAAAATCAAGAAACGATCCATGCTGGGAAGAAGAAAACTCATCGTCTTTCCAGCTCCTGTCTTGGCTCGAACCACCAGATCCTGTCCGCAAGAAACGTGGCTTGCTGGACAACACACCATGGAAATAGATGATCGTTCCATGAAAAAAAACACTTATAGGGAATTTGTCCTTAGCATTCGCGAGCCATTCTTTTGCCAAAAAAAAGATGATTCAAATTTGAATTCTTTTGCACCATTTAGACTCAGATGTCATCAGATTTCATCAGATCATAATGGGAAAATTCTTGTTCCCGCCACCAGCAACTGCCCTAAGTCGCCACGTCCTTTCCCTCAGAGATGGGTCGGAAGGTCTGCTGCTGAACATCCTGAGACTCGAAATTTCGGGCATTAACAGACACCAGACCCTGAATCAATGGCATTGGCAACGAAACTTTGTCGAAGGAAGTTTAGAAGTGAAACTTCCGACAATATGGACAGTTGAAAAGCAGAGGTGAGAAGAGTCAGAAGAGACAAGATCAGAAGAAAGAAGAGGTAGATGCGCGAAAAGATAGGAAAGTCGCGATTCACTGTGTTTTTCCAATGATTTGTGGCTCCGGAGGGTCGAAAAGTAGGCTCGCTAAAGCGGCGGGTGCGGAGCCAGCTGGCCAGAGGAGAGATGAAAAATTGCACGCCGTTGTGGCGCGAAGCACATTTCCAAGTCAAAATGCACAAAACACACCATTTTCGGGCCACTTTTGGAAGTTGCAATGTCGAAAAAGTGCACGCCGTTGTGGCGCGAAGCACATTTCCAAGTGAAAATGTACAAAACACACCATTCTCGGACCACTTTTGGAAGTTGAGATGTCGAAAAAGTGCACGCCGTTGTGGCGCGAAGCACATTTCCAAGCCAAAATGTACAAAACACACCATTCTCGGACCACTTTTGGAAGTTGAGATGTCGAAAAAGTGCAAGCCGTTGTGGCGCGAAGCACATTTCCAAGTCAAAATGTACAAAACACACCATTCTCGGACCACTTTTGGAGGTTCAGATGTCGAAAAAGTGTCGAAAAAGTGCACGCCGTTGTGGCGCGAAGCACATTTCGAAGTCAAAAGTGTAAAAAACTGAGGGTTTTGAGCCTTTTTTGACGTGAAGATATCGAAAAAGGAGACACTGATTAACTTAACTAACTTGACTAACTTAACTAACTTCACTAACTTAACTACCCTAACTTCGACGACAACAGCAACAACAACAACAACGACAACAACAACAACAGCAACAACAACTACTACTACTACTACTATTACTACTACTACTACTACTACTGTACTACTACTACTACTACTACTACAACAACTACAACAACTACTACTACTACAACTACACTACACAACAACTACAACCACACAACAACTACAGCTACAACAACAACAACTACAACAACTACAACTACAACTACAACTACAACTACAACAACAACTACAACTACAACTACAACTACAACTACTACAACTACAACTACAACTACAAAACAACTACAGCTACAACTATATGACTGCAACTACACTACACTAATTACATTACACCACAACTACAACTCCACTACGCTACAACTACAACTACTACAGTTGCAGTACATCACACTACATCCAGCAGTTGTGGGTGAGGTGACCACTGCAACCATTGCAACCACTCCAGCAAACACAACTCCAACCACTTTTCGGTCAATCAGTGGATTCGCTCTGCCATCCGTGATTCACAACAACCAACGTCTCCTATAGGTTTCCTATTCTGAAACTTCCGCCACCGCCTTGTGCGGTACTACTGGTAGGCAAATAATTAGATAGTGGAAACGAATCTTCCACGTGATTTTAAGAGACCACTAAATTAGTGGAAACATGTGCAAACTAATCTTCCAACCCCCACTCTTGGCATGGTCTATGCTGATTAGGGGCATGGGAACATGATTTGGCCAACGACAAGTTTGGGATATTGGGACTGGGATATCGCGGGGTATTATGAGCCAACAACATCCAACAACATGATACATAGCTTTGTCCATAAAACTGCTGGATTTACACAGAATTGATGTTCATCTTATTTTTATGGGAAAAGACTGGTTCCAGCAAGGGATGGTTATGGATGGTTCCCTGGTACACCCGAATTTTGGGACCAAAAAGTGGGGCAATCCAAGTTCTTGGGGGTTCCAATCCCATGAAACGATAATTTTAAGTGGTAGAATGGGAGACACGATTCTGGATGCATGAACTCCAAAGAATTATAGAAATCCATTGAAAATCCGGGTTGCAGTGTTGCATCGTTGGCAAGTACGAAGCCCTGTGAAACTCAACTGACTTCACCACTTGCTATGGAAAGTCGTATTTTTTTTCGCTGGTCGTTCGAAACTTCAGGAGACAGTTGAAACCAACAGATTGATGGTCATCCTGGTTATGATTGACATTTTATCCTGGTTATCCTCACCATAACCAGCTCTATGATGGTGATGTGTTTGGTCATCCTGGTCACAGAGCTGGTTATGGTGCCGGTAGGTAGGCATTGAATCCTGACCGGGTACGCTGCGTGAAAAATCACGCCAAGAGTCTGTCAGGCTGGTGTAGCCCAAGTCTTTGATAGCCACCTGACACACGCCATGGCACAAGGCAAGGAAAGCAGAATGGTTCATCAGATATCATAGCAAAGCAGGGAAAAGGCTTTCTTGAAAAGATCCTAGAAAGTGGCGTTCGATAAACGGCCTGAATAACATCTAATATCCATCTCTCTATAACATTAAAATACATTAAATACCCCCGATATTACCGACCATTATGAGATATTTCACCAGAGTTTGGTTTGGAGGGTATTTGACGTTATATAGTCCTAGAAAATTGTTCATAACCCCAATTAACAAGTTCCCTGGGCTATACTTAACTTACATCTACAAATGGATGATTCCTAAGTCATGGGCGTAGCCGCAGTTCTCCATTTTTCTTTGGGATGTTCCAGTAGAAATAAACCATCCAGCTATTGGGCTACGCCCATGACGACCTGGAAACCTCCGCAGCTGCGACCTGAGCTTCCTCTGACAAAGGCAAGTCCTGAAAGCTGGAAGTGACCTCGATCCGAGGGAAGCTGGCTTTCATGGGGATAAAAGCCATGAACAGGGAAACAAATATAATATAATACAATATAATAGAATAGAATATAATATAATATAATATATAATATAATATAATATAATATAATATAATATATACATAACAATATTAATTACCGGTATATATAGTTATTGTTATGTACAAATACTATTTGATGTCTGTCCAAATGGGCTGACTGTGTGGGCAAACTTGTTTGTAATTTGGGGATAGAATATTTTCTGCAATTGTTCCCTCAAATCAACCCACGGCCTTGGAGATCTGAAAGTTATACGTTCATGCCACCTGGGAAAACCATATCATATTCGCTTATTGATATTCTGTAGGGTGTTCCGACATCACAGCAAGTTCATCTCAATGGGTATGGAGCATCTGGGCTGAACACGAGGCGCGCCGATTCTAACCGAGGAGGATAGGATAAAAACTTTTGTCCACAGTGATTGCTCAAAATGTTTGACCCATTTTGATCCCAGAAAATGGATGGTTTGATGATGTTTGATGCAAAACATATCTAAAAATGATCCGTTTTTTTCGGAGGGCCCATTGGCACAGTGGGTGTCCCAGTCTGTATCCATCCCTACACACCCCTTCTGAGCAGCAGCACCTCAAAAGGTTACCCTATGGAGCAAAAGGATCCATGATGATACATGTCTGTATATAAATTTTGGAACCATTTAGGAACCCCAAAAATCAAAATTATTGGAATTTTATAAAAGAAGAGGGATCTGGAAGATGATGTTCCTATTGGATATGCCATGATCTTTAGGTTTCATGAACCTTTCCAACGGAATCCCAGGTGACGACTGTCGCGACTGGAAAGAACCGAACGCCCAGTCACCGGCAGTGCTTGGAACCTGAGTCACCGGGAGCTTCATTGGCTTACCATGCTTTGCCTTAATGTGAGATTCACCCAATGCTAATTATATTATTCATCCCCCAAGTCATCACCATTTTGATGGGTGGTATGTTTACCATCCTCAAATGAATGGTTTATGACATTGGGTTGCCCACATGACTTGGTTTAGTTTTGACATGTCTTAACTCCTCATTTATAATCCAAAAATGCTGGTACTATACATAGTGGTGCTGCCTCTCACTGTACCAGACTCACTGTCAGTTTAAAGTGAGAAGTGAGATCATCCGTTTCCAAACTGCACTCTCTCTGCTTTCTGGATACAAAGGCTGCTTCTTGTACATGGTTAGGAGATTCCAAAAATTACCCAACAGGATATCTGTTCTCCTAGCTGCTAGACCAACCTCAACTGGAAGCAATGGGATTCCCAGGATGCTTCAACTGAGATCATCTTTGGATACACACCCCGAAATTACCTTTCACAAATTTGCCTTGTGGGAGAATGGTAAGGTCGCAGAAATCTCACCCAATCGTCATTATTGAAGATTATTGATGTAGTCACCCTCGATTGACGATTCTTTAGTGTCGCGCAATACCAAACAGTATGCATGGCATCCTTTTTGGCGGAGATCGATGACTCTCGGAGGGTTGGCATTTTGGGAGGACTGGCCAAGCCACAAAAAAAGAACTACTTCCCCTTAAAAACATCACCAATGCACCACTGCATCAGTGCATCATCATGGCATCATCACCATTCGGTTTCGTTGGAAAACTACCTACCCTGCGGTAAACTAACATAACTATGGAAAATCACCATGTTGAATGGGAAAACTCACTATTTCTATGGCCATTTTCAATAGCTATGTTAGTCATTACCAGAGGGTAGCACTTGAAATCTTTACCGGGCCAGAACACGCTTGACCCAGTCGGGGCCGTGCGAGTCCGGGTCGTCCACAAAATGCAGGAGCCAAACCTGGCGCGGTCGCGATGGTTCAAAACGGTTTTAGTGTTTTCAAAGAAAACTATGGGACCATCAATCATCAACATGGGTCATTAAATGTCCCCATTGAACATCACCCAACCATTAGGTATATGGTCTATAATGGCTACTATAAGGTGATGTCCAATATACCCAAAATGGGACAGTTACCAACCCCTGATCAATGTCAATATTATGTATATATATATATAGAATTATGGTACAGTATACTTATTTGGAGCTAAAGCCATATGGCAAAATATCTTTGCTCAATTCATTTTGCTGCTCAACCATCCGCTTGCTGTTTGAGACGGCTGGGGGCCTGGTTGGCACCGGATGGGATTGGATACGGTAATTTTATCATACCTGCTCTATCCTTTTCTGGGTATGGCTTTCATATGTTTTAATACCCCCATGATCAATTTTCGTACATTACTTTACCACAAAGAAGTATTTCTTGGCTGGTTAGGATTCATATCCCCATTTATAGCCAAAGAATATATGAAAAAATACCCATTCGATTATTCTAGTATATTAAATATCCATAAATATCCCCATTTATAGGACTAATACGGATTAATATCCCCATAGTGCTTAATCCCATGCCCCAGGGCAGGGCACCTGGAAATCCCGACAATGCCAGGGCGCTTTCGGTGCTCTCCCCGTTCAGACTCATGGATCTTAAGTTAGCTATATATATATATATATTATGTTAAATCCATCCCATCAAATGATATATATTCATTATACATATATATCATTATAAATATATATATATGTATATACATTATATATATCATTACAGTAACTTATCATTCATATCCCCATAAAATCCCTCTGATTTCAACATGTTCCCCTGCGCCTCGCCATAGCAGGGCGGCCGCCGTGATCGGAGCCCAACGACGCCATGGTTGGCCATGGCGAAGCATGGGCAGTGACCGTTCGCACCCAAAGTTCACTGAGACTTGGGGATTTTGCCCATCAAACATAGCGATTTTACAGAGAAAAACTTGGATCTAGCCAGAAACAATTGGGATCTACGATGGTTTACGATTTACCAATCGTAAACATGTTGAATCATCTGTGTTACCAGTAGGGTGTTTAACGCGTATTTATGAATCAAAAAAGGGAATTTACCATGTACGGATCCATATGGCCATCTGGAACCCGAAAACGGTCATGTCTAAAAGATTCTAGAAACACAATCGTATGTTCATGTTGTTTCAGATCTGTTTGATGTCTGGAATTTACTCGCAGTATCAACCTGCGGGGCTGAAAAAAGGTGAGGCAGCAGAGCCACTAGTAGAGCATTTGCGACGTGGTGGGTCCACCGGAAATTGCAGGGAGATAGTCTTGGACCTGGTATTAGATAGTACATGATAAAGATAGATGATGATGCATGAACATAATTGATCATAATTGCACGATAATACAATATACGACTTGAACATACATGATAATACATGATTGCATCATATTGCATCAAACTCATATCCGTGCTGGAAATCCATGATGGCCTCTATCTTTGCTTCATGCTGGTGAAATATCCCCTGGGTTATCTCCATCGTTAAATCTGATTGGAAGCAAATTCTAAGAAATATAGCTGACACATTTGCTAGCACCAGATATCACCAGACTGGTAATTGCTTTTGAAGTTGAATCTTAATCCGAAAGATTCTCTAACTCCATGACAGATTTTTGTTGAAAGAGTGGTGCTAGATACCTGTTTTGAGCGGTCCTCCTGGGACCATTGAGGTGGGTATAACATGGTATAAATACCACGTTACTTGGATATCTGGGATGATTTAAAGTTGTTTTTCCTAGTGCTATTGGATGCTATTGGGATGATTAATATTGGCTTATATACCAATTAGTTTATCTAACGATCTATTTTAATAATTGGGTTAACCACATTAGCAACAAGTACTTGGCCCGTGTCACCACTAGCGTCACTAGCGACCCTGCAGTTTTAAAAGCCATGAAGCACACATTGCCGGGAAATTCCCGACAAGTTCTCTGTCTTTGGGTCTCGAGAAACACATAAACTGCCAGCAACTTTTGAAACTATCAGGGGATCCTTCCGCATCCATGTCATCCATTCAACTCGATATCTCCATGGCATTTATGGCCCTTTGCACCTGCAGATTGGTAACTGTGGGCCAGGCGCGTTGGTGATCTCATAGTTGATACGGTTCACAATCACATTGCCCACGCGGAATCTCAGCTGTAAGGATCAACTGACCACAGAAAACTTGGCCGTAGCGGCGTAGCGGCAAACGATTCCATCTCTGGATACTTTGGGTGGGGGTCCTGCTCAAAGATATTCGAAAGGGCACTTGTGATTTGCCTGTGATTTGCCTGTGAGGTGCCATGGAGTTCATCCCATGAGTGAAATGCGATTTTCGACATCTGCATCCAAATATACATAGCTTGCCAAAAGGTTGTATAGATGATATCTATACATCATGATCTCACGGTGTAACCAGCCTTTCTTCTTATAAAAACCAGGCTTCCTCAACAATATCTCAACATTCTGCATCTGACAATATTTCAGCAGTAGCTGTTGAGAAAATCGCCTGAGACTCCCAGCCGATTGCCAAACTGACCACAAAGCTCCAAGCGCGAGTATCGTCGTCGCCTGGGATCATCGTCGCTTGGGGGCCCGGAAGTTTCAGAAAAAAAACACCTGCCGTGCTAGACATGAACTCACCATATACAATATAAATCAATATTATATATATATATGTGTGTAATACATATTAATTAAGAATATTTAATACACATATGAATAGATAACTTTCTATAACAGTGTAACGTCCTGTCCATTTTGCTGCAATACCCATATGTTTTGTCGGGGTATTACTAGTAATTTCATGTAATTACCCCAACAAGACAAGCCAACAGGTTGTCAATGAGTAATTTGGAGCTATAAGCCTCTCATACTCTGCTCCAAAGCTATAAAAACATGGTGAGAAGACCTGAACTCTTTAGCTGCGTTGACCTCGATAAGTTCCTATGTTTGCTGACCTCTTTCTTTCAAAAAAAAACATGGTATCTCCCATTTCGTTGCTGGATCATCCGAATCTCACACAAAGCATGATATTAAATCATATTCTTATTTGTTAATATCCCCAGACCAGCATTTATCAAAGTGTGGAATCACCCATTTAATTGAGTCGCTTCCCCCTAACTCATATTTTTCACGGGTTTTTCATGAGGAGTTACACTAAAATTCGGGACCTTATAATGGGGGTCTTTTATGGCCATGCTATACATGCCAGAAACCTCCTTAAATGGCCATTTGTTTCACCGGGAAAATGATGAATTTCCTCCGAAACCTTGAGATTTTGTACTGGATCTACTAATGATCTATATTAATTTATTAACTGTATTGGATTTATATATAGTATATTGTAGTGGATCTAATATTTATCTATATATATACTGTATATATATATATAAATCTTCATTTTTAGTGTCCCAACTCTTAGAGGTACAGATATTTACTCTACGTGCGGGATGGGATGATTTTTTTTTTTCATCCAAGTAGCTGCCAAGTATGAAAAAATCAGATCGATATCCCAGATGTTTGTTCCCATTAGCCATGATATAGCCATAGCCATTGCTGAATAAATTTCAGGATTGATAATTAATCCAAATTAGACAATTTATATCAATTTATACAAAGAAACCCATGGTGACTTGGGGACCCCTTATTGAATCCCGGTTCCCAAAAAAAAACCGTCCCCTGAGTCTCTGCACGGAGGTCGAATGATCAAGTTCCAGACCTTGGGAAGAATTTCTCCACCCTTGGGAAGGGTGGAGTTCACCAAGCAAAACATGAACAAGGCGGTGCCCCATAGTTAGCTAAGTTGGGTAACTCCTATCGTGCTAAGGTTTATGGTTGTTGAGCTATTCCGAACTAGTTAATGAAAGTTATAAACCAATCACTGGGAGGGGCACCAGCTTTAAAGGTTTGGGATATGGAAAAAATGACTTTTTTCACCAACAGTTCGCATATGTTAGGGTTGGAACTTATCTGGAAAACATAGGAGATGTTCGGCGGTTTTTTTTGGGCATTTTGTCGTTGAGTTGTCAACGTCCAATTTGGACATCTTCAAAAAACATGTGGACGTTCTGCAAGTTTCAAACAATATCCGCAGAATGGGAGATACATATTTTAACAAAAACCTGGCTTTCTTTCAGAATGATTTCACCATACTGGTGCTTAGTAATGGATGGGAATAGGGGACTGGGATTACCCTCTGGTAATTTAACGTAGCTATTGAAAATGACCATAGAAATAGTGGATTTTCCCATTAATAGCATGGTGGATCTTTCCAGTTCGCTATGTAACAAATTACCAGAGGGTATTATTGATAGTTATTGATAGTTATTGATAGTTACTAAGCACCAGTAAGCATACTTCAACAACAAAAACTGGGGACCAGGTCTCAGGATGAAAAAAATGTGGAGCTTTTTTGAACCGAACAAGAAACCCCGGCCGTCCACCAGACTTCCCCTCCGCTAGTGTGACATGCTGGAAAATCCACCATTTATAGATAGATAGATAGATAGATAGATAGGATAAGATAAGATAAGGTAAGATAAGATAAGATAAGATAGGATAAGATCAGATAAGATAAGATAAGATAGATAGAAGATAAGATAAGATAAGATAAGATAAGATAAGATAAGATAAGATAGGATAAGATAAGATAAGATAGGATTGATTGATTGATTGATTGATTGATTGATTGATTATATATAGATATAGATATAGATATAGATATAGATATAGATATAGATATAGATATAGATATAGATATAGATATAGATATAGATATATCTATCTATATATATATCAGACCTGGAGGTGTCCTAAGTCATGGGGCTACCCCCAGTTATCCAGCAATGTTCATAGGATTTCCCAGCCAAATCCAGCCAATAAACCATCTCTGAGGCCCACACTGCCAAGATGTAGGTCGACACGGGCAAGGCTTCCTGGATGTGAGTGGAAGCAGTTGGCAAAATGTACTGCAAATCAAACTGTTTCACAGTGTATTCACATTGTTTTTATGCACCAACTCCAACTACGCAGGTTTCCTAGAATTCTCCCTTCATCATTTTCACAAATCCCATGGACCAGCGCCGGATGGGCGAGTTATGGACAGTTTCAGATCGTCCCATTTAGCATCTATTGGGAGTCCCATTTAGATCATCGGTGTTTTCCCATGCCAAAAAGATATCTATAGATGCTTCCCTCCACAATAATTCCCAGGTGTCCACAGTTTCTACATGTTTCTATACCTTCTTTTTTTGGCTCTAAACCAGCCTTTTATTTTGAGGTAGATATAAATTGAGTCAGTTGAATCTGAAAGGATTCAACTGATAGCAGCTATCCCACCCGGAAACAGAATCAAAGCCGTTGGTTCAGCATCGCCTCGACTTGAAAAAACTTCGCCCCGAAACGAACTTGGCCTTGTGGTAAACCATGGTAAACCCAATACCATGGATAGCTACCTTTTAAATTTTAAAGATCCAATTCGGGGACGGGTCCAGCCATAAAAATGGTGATCAATTGGGGATGGTTTATGAATGTTTATGAAATTGGCTTTACCACATTCATCTCAGCTCCTTGACACAGCCTCAGTTCTAGGCACGAATAAACCCTGTTTTCTGCTGGCATCCCGCATGATTGCTGCGCAAGGAACCATTGTCATCTCGCCAGACCGAGATAGGAGGCGCGGCTGGCCGCGCAGGAGTGGAAATGGCGAAGATGACCAGTTCTTCAAGTATTGCCAGTGATTGCCAAATTGCCAAATGTGTTTGAACTGTAATGTTTATGGATAATATGTGTAGTACATCGTTCTATTTGTGAATACATGTATAGATAACTGTAGATATAGATATATCATGATATATCATTGATATTATGCAAGTTCTTCAATGGCATGCGGAAATGACAAGTTAACATCAAGAATGACTTTGCAAGTAACGACTTTTGCAAGGAAAGCTGCTACTGAAGCAGGGCCCAAGGCAAGCAAATCATTTGAGAAGGGAGATGCTGCGATGAAAAACTGCTGGAAGGACTTTTTGATGAGGGTTTGCACTGTACACTTGGAACTTGCATGTCATGGGCTAATCAACTGGAGTGGTGCGCAAAGCCTTAACTCCGTCCTGCTAGCTAGCCAAAAATAGGGGTCTGGTGTGCTTGGATATTTAGCTACTGTAAATAATTTGTCATTGCCTGCCATCATGGACTACCGAAGGCACATCCCTATCATATGTTGAATTGCATACAGCAAAGATTTCATATGGGCAAGCCATCCGGATATTCTGAGTGATTATTTCTCTCCGCTGATGCCCCTGTTTCTTGTTCGCCAAAGAGTTTCTGGGTACCGTCCACCCCATCCTAACTCTAGCAGACTCTAGCACTCTCCACTTAGCGAAGTGCTTATGGGGGGCAGTCCACTGATCATGACGTTTTCTTTTCATGGCTTCCAATCGCTGACCCCTCTGAAAATCAGGCTCAACTCACAGCAGCCACGGCACGGCTCTTCAGCGCCCAGGATCATCCCATTCCTTTTTCCAAAGTAAAGCTCTGGCGACTTCTCTCCCAAACAACCAGCACCTCAGACGTCTGGTCTTGGGACCCCAGATTTTGGGTCCCTACGTCAGACTCAAAGTGGAATCCACAGGGTCGTTCCAGATGTAAACTTAGAATAATGACTGGAATACGAATTTGATACTTGGAAGTTGGGAAAGCAGAGAATGGGTACAGCAAGTTGGATCTTTATCAACCAAAACACAAATTCAAGTTCCCACCAAATCCACATTTGGTTGAAGAGACAGTTTATACGAACACCAAGATTTGAATGTAAAAACATGGGTTGCCTGTTTTTTCTCCCTACTCCATGCATTAAAGACCGATGGACCACCTCCAGGTGATGGACTGCAGTTGTACCCGACTACTACCCTCTGGTTCTTCAACAAAGCTATGGAACATGGCCCATTTAGCTTGATGCTAAACACAATGATTTACCTAGTACAAAATGGTGATGTTCCATGGCTACGCTGAATAACCAGAGGGTATTGATATGTATTGATTGAATACGTCAAATGCTTTGAATGCCACGTCTGCGGCGTTCAAACCCCCAGGTTTCAGGCTCATCAACCGATTGCGGAGCCCTTGCGCAAGCCGTTGAGCTGTTCAAGAACCCATAATCCAAGGTTGGTGATGATGTGGTAACCATTTGGGGGTTGTGTGAAAATAGGCCCAAAATTTGATGGTCAATCATCATGTTCCCTTCCACAGAGCCATGTTGGGGTATATTCCATTTTCAGACACGCCCATGTTACAGGCTGAAATGCCATTAGTTCCCCGGTTCCCCCTCGTTTCAGGCGCCTCAATACATTCATAAATTGCAGTGTACCAATTGTGCCATGGAATCTTCACTGGACGCACTAGTGCTGATGACACGAGGGGTGTCACCCTGTGTACAATACCCTCTGGTAAACTAACAGAACCATGGAAAATCAGCATTTTTAATGGGTAAATCAACTATAAATGACCATTTTCAATAGCTATGTGTGTTTACCAAAGGGTTGAATTTTGGATTTACTATCGTCTGATCACATCGTTCAACATTTCTCTAGCTGTTCATTAAAGTAGGACATTCCATTCCTCAGCAGACGTGCCAGTCACAAGACTGCAAGAAGAGGACGTTAATCCTGTATAGCCATATCCGGGATTGCAGGTCAGGCTAAAAATATCAGATTATCACATTTCAATAGCTGCGTATGGCAAACACGACAGGGAAGATACCTAAGTACCTGGCAACCCCCATCAGTGATGATCATCCATGTTTGCGCATTGATGTTTGTGATCATGAGGGTAGTACGGTAGTACATTACTTTGTATCCTCATTCTTACTGGCTGAACTATCTCCTCATCATGGTGGGTTGGTTATCGAAACTGGATGGAACTGGTCAGTCTTGATTCTAACATCGCAAGGGAGGTAGCACATCTCCACTCTCCTGGATTCCCTAGGTCCACATCTGGCTGAAGCGTTGGGAATATGCCCTGGCCTTCCCATGCGGCTTTCCAGGGTCCATGACCTGTGCACTCGGGATGCTGTTCAGGTCAGGCTCTAGACATCATCTTGCCGACTGGGATGGATACCCTCTGGTAAACTAACATAACTATTGAAAATGGCCATTTATAGTATATAGTGGATTTTGATTTAGCCATTAAAAATGGTGATGTTCCATAGTTATGTTAGTTTACCAAAGGGTAACAGAACATATTTGAAACCACCATACTTAGGGGATGCCCCAGTCATCCACCATTGAAGAAACAAATGGTGCTTGATCTTGACAAAAAAAAAACAAAAAAAAACTCAACCATCCTCCCGAGTATTGGCCAAATTTCCTGACTAATCACTAACATTAACATGCAGTAACCACTCCTACCATGTTTTAATCAGCCGGTGTTTCGATAGCGGTGATTCCCGTGCGCTTTTTTCGCACCAGGGTCACAGGGTTCCCCATGGGTCCCCGGCCATGCCAAAAGATAGGGAAGTACCTCTCGCATGGCAAAACATATTGATGACATAGATATACCATCTGGTTATGACTAACATAGCCATGGTATAGATGGCCCATAGAAATAGATGGTTTACCTATTAAAAAGGGTGATTTTCCATGGCTATGTTAAATAACCAGAGGGTAATAGATACTCTCTGGTAATAAACAACACTTTGCCATAAAATATAATTGGCATGTTTATAGATCCCAAGTTTCATTGATACATAACATATCCGAAAATCAAAGAATGTGGCAAACTGCAAAAACCCAATAATAATAAACTATCCCCGAAATCACCATTTTTATGGGTTGTATTTGTATACCACATTATCACATGATCCTTCTTTGCAGTTCCAAGCCAGCTGGGCACTTGCGTCCAAGAAAGCGCCCAGAGCCTCGTGCTGTGGATTAAAAGCATGCCATGTTTGATTCCCAGAGGCTAATCAGAAAGAGGCTGAAGAATCTGTAGATTGAAATGACTGAAGTGTCCAAAGAAAGAGGTACCCTAAAAAAATTGAAAGCACACTGGATCACTTATCACTACTGACCTCGTTTAGATTTGCTTCGTGGTAACCCCATCAAACAATCTAAAGATTGGAGCGTCATCCAATTTCTGTTGGGATCATATCCCCATCGGGTGTACCACTTTACCACTTGAGTGTTCAAAATCGCTGGTTGATGAATTGATCCTTTCCCCCTAATACTAAACGTCCCCCCCCATTAATAAACACCTCAGGTAGAGGAGATGGACCCCTGTTTTTAGTATTTGCGGGACGTTTAGTAATAGGGGGAAGGGATTATAGAGGATTATACCCAAAGATTCTCACTATCCATGGGAAATTCGATCAACCAGCAAGAGACAAGGGTTCCGAGGGTTACCCGACACCCGAATATGGAGCTTTCCATAAATTTGGTACCCCTCAATCATCCATCTGAGGATTTTCCATTCTAATATTAAAATGGATATATAAACCATATATATAAACCATGTATAAACATATATACATATACCATATATATATATACAGTATATATATATACAGTATATATATATACAGTATATATATACAGTATATATACACTGTATATATATACTGTATATATATACAGTATATATACACTGTATATATATATTCTGTATATATATACACAGTATATATATATACAGTGTATATATATACAGTGTATATATATACTGTATATATATTGTATATATATACTGTATATATATATTCTGTATATATATACACAGTATATATATATACAGTGTATATATATACAGTGTATATATATACTGTATATATATTGTATATATATATATACACTGTATATATATATATATATACAGTATATATATACAGTATATATATATATACAGTATATATATGTGAATCGGAGGTTGTCTCCCCGATTATGTATTGTTGCTTTGTCTTGGGGTTGATGTCCAAAACGACGACGTCACGATGAATGCAGTTTCGGCATGGCGTTGTTTCTCGCTCTTGACATCTGCAGTAGTCTTGAGCCAAAGGGGCATTTTATGCACACCTTTGGTTATGGACGATAGTAGGATGTCTTTGTGGGATTATGTACTGTGCCGTAGCCTACATCCTATTCGCACCCCCCACGCATGGCCAACTTCGTTGGCCACGCGCAAAGGAGTGTCCTTTAAATCGTTCCAATACATCTGCAGCTGTTCATTTGTCGAATTAAGGAGAGCTAAAGTCCGTTTCAGAACTTCCAATCTACATGGCGGCTTGCTACGATCTCTACCAAAAAAATATAAAAGATCTGTTCACGTGCACGCAGACACGACGTAGTCGGTGTCTAGCGTTGAGGTTCATCCGATGTGGCGTAGCCAGCATGGATTCCCACTCAAGCATGTGAATTAAAAATCAAACACAAAGATGACTATGGAACTAGAAGTTTACCTTCCCGTTCCTTCGTCGGTTGAGATGTAGACCGCTGTAGAAACTCAGCGTCTCATGCAATGATGTTCAAAAAAAATGTGTGGTTACAAATTAGCCGGCTCAGAGTCCTCTCAGAAATCATTCGAAATGAAGTAGAGGTAAATCTCGAGCACTGATTGCATCCTCGCATCGCCAGGTTCAATCAGGACCTATGCAGAGGTCAGATCGCTTGATCATCTATATCCCCATCCATAGTATCCCTGATGATTCCAGTCTCCGCCACGATGTGAATAAGATCTTCCACCTTTTCCTTGGTCTTTTCCCCCCTTCTTTGGCGGGGTCACTGGAGCTTGTTTTGGCGGAGGAGCGGTTTCAACTGTTCTCCATGTTGCCGACGATGATGCTTTCGTTTTTGACGCTCGTCCCAGTGCTGGTTCTGCCTTCGGGGCTGCTTTCGATTTGCCAGCGGCTTGGTCGGTGCGTTCGCGATCAGCAGGAGTTGGGGTATCAGCAATCGCAAGTATGTGAGCTTCTGTCAAGTGAATGCCCCACCTTGGTCCTTTGCTTGATGTGATTGTAATCATCGATTGCATCATATAGCTTCTGGAGTAGAGGTCGTGGCAATTGTCGGCCATTCTGAAGGATCAGGTGTAAAAGTGAAATTCTTCGAAGTGGTGGACGAAGAGCACACACAATGTCAACTGGGTTCAATGTGATTGTGTCTTGAAAGTCGACGTTCCTGAAGAAATAAACAGCATTTACCCTATATGCACCTGCAATGATTCTTCTGACCAAGACGTCTTGTCGGTCAAGGGCGTCGCGGGCCGCTGTGGTCTTCCTCATCTCGTCCATTGTTGTGTCACGTTTCGACAGCTTCTCCATCTCCTCATCAAAGAAGATGTTCTGCAAGTCATCATACGTGTAGCCACATTCAAGGGTATATACGAGAAGTCGCTTGAGCACTACTGCTCCGTAATAAGCATTGACGAATCCCTCTTCTCCGATGTCGTCCTTTTGATTTGGTCGGCCGATCTCTTTGTAGAGCTCTTTCATCTGTTGTGCAGTTGGTTCAATGAGTTCACCATTTTCATCCTCGCCCAGGTAAGGTGTCCTTGAGTCCAGGTCCATCCTAAATTTCTGGTTCTGTTGAAAATGTTTCCATGCCGTCCCAATGTCTCCACAGAAGTTCCGTTGGAATAGTCTGTAGATCCTGACGATATGTAGTCCCATCTGCAACAGGAGGATCTTGATGAATTCTGGTTGAGCATCTCCAATTGTGCAAGGCTCGATTGGCAGGACCTTTGATCCAAACTCAATCCGCTGCATCCACTTGGGGTACTCAATCTCTGCATCACGAGCTTCTCCAGCCTCGTACTCTTCAATGTTGATCTCATCGACCGCTGTTTCTTCAACATCATTCTCGTCGGTCGGTTTTCCCTCTTGATTGAGAAATTCGTCGACCTCATCTTGCTCTCTGAAGTCTCTTTTCTCGTCATTAATGTCGCCCTTCTTCGAGGCTTGGTCATCATTTTCTTCTTCTGGTTGAGGTTCCTGCTCTGGACTCTTCATGGTGACGTCATCATCACCTGGCATTGTCTCATCATTATCATCATCACCTGTCAAATCGATCTTCACCTCTTCCCATGCTTTCTTGACATGGTCTTTGAGATCTTCTTCTCGATGATGTGATTCGGCTTTTGGTACTGTTGCCACGGTGATTTTGATTCGCTTCCTCCATCCATGACTCACCAAAAATCCTTTGCACATCACACAAATTGACAAAGGCGCAGGGGTTTCCAACAGACATGCGGGGCATAGTCGATGGTCCTCTTTGCTAGGATGATGGGTGACTGCCAATAATGAAATTGCATCATTCCAATCCGGATGTCCAGGGAACAATCTGTGAGTATGACTGAAGTGGCCTGTCCTGATATCGACAAGTTTTCGAAGTTCGTCAAGATCGGGTGATGATTCTTCAGGCACAATGTTTCCAATGAGCTTGTCAAATCGTTCAATGGTGGCCGCTCTCTTTGCTCCTTGCACAGAAAGAACAAGTTGATCTCTTCCCTTTGTGATCATGAGACGGTAATAGTCCTTTTCTTTCCAATCATAATACCAAACTGCATCGAATGATTCGAATGGAATTGTTTCTTGGACCAAAATGTGTCCGTCTGCTGACAATCTGGGGGAGAACTTGGCGATGGAATCGTATGTGATGTAGATGTAGACAAGATCAGTTTGATCAATTTTCTTGAATCTCAGCACCATCTGACTTCTAACATCCCACGGCGCGAATGGCACGAAGAACGTATTGATGCGGTCGCCTCCTCCTCCGGGACGTAGTCCTTCTCTGAAGATTTGGGCGATGTTGTCAAATGTGGTGCAGTGAAATCCTCCTCCAAGAGTGTATCCTACTCCAGGGTTCATCTGATAGGAAGTCTTCTTGTCTTCGATTTGTACACCGCCTTGAACTCTTGAATGTGCCATAGGAGCTCGGATTGCCACTGGCCAAAGCCAAATCTCTCGATCTGCTGTGCCGATCTCCAACCTCAGTGTTTGTCGATCAAGTCTTGAGGTCAATCCATCATCAAAATTGTTCAAGAGGTATTCCAACTCAGCCTTTGTGACTTTGAGTCCTAGCACTTGAGCTCGGATCCTCTTCGTTTGCTTGTACTCGGTGAAAATCACTCTCTGGAAATTGTTCCACCTCTCAACAAGTATCGGGTAGTTGACGTGTGTCGTTCCAGCCAATGTGTGTTGGTCTCTCCAAATAGCATCGTACTTCAAGATCGACTCAACATTGACCCAACCCGCCTCATCGCATGGAAGTCCACGGTGATTTCGATTGTCTCTGACGCAACCCACGGAGTGGCGTAGCGCAGCATTGAACCTTTTCGACAGTTCAACCATCCATGGCGGATTTTCCCACTTGTTGCCCATCCACTCATTCTCGCTGTATCGATGCACCTTCCACCAGCCCATTCCAAGGTATTCTTCTCCATTGATGCGGGCAAGTTGAAGTGTACCAATATTGTGACCATGTGTGAATGGTTGGATGTACTTGAAGTTCCAGTTGTTTCCATGTTGTTTTCTTTCCTCAGTAAGCCATTTCATGTAGACATCATGATCAATATGTTTCAAAGCATTCAGCTCTTCAATTGTCGGCAAAACAGGCGGGGACTCCTCAGCTGCACGTTCAATCAGCATGTCAAGCTCATGACGATTCTTCACACCTCGGCTAATTGGGTTGACCTCGACACCATTCACTAAGTATTGTCCTCCTTCTTCACGATCACCAATATCGTACATAAAGGCTGACTGACTGTAGAAGCACTTGGTCACTTCCTCTTTCTCAGTGAATCTGGTTCTTCCCCAACGCTTTCCTCGTGGCATGACGTTCTTTGGGAGCTTGTCTTTCCTGCCTCTGGTCGCAGCTTTGGATCTTTCGGACGATGATGGGGATTTGGACTTCTGATCCATGATCAACC